AACTAATGATGAACGCTAGTTTCCTTTTGAGAATCTCAGAAAATTTTCAGTCTCCAAACTCAAATAAAAATATGGACGCAATCTGAACCTTCTTTGATAAAAATGCAATGGATAAATTATGTTTACAACATGCATTCAAGTTCGGACCGATGCAGGGCAAGCATTTCCTAATTTATAAGGAACTTTAAAAATGCAAGCTCGAATAGGTGTGTAGCCATTCAAAAGGTCTAACTTTCTTAGCCAAATTTCGCAAACAACTGTTTTCGAAATATTTCGTTTTAGAATAATTGACGCGTGGGGTTTTAAAAAAATAATTATTTTGTAATCTAATCTTTGCAATTTTTTAAGTTCAAATTTAATTGTGTTGACTACCAATTTAGTAGTAATCATTACTATTGTAAGAGTTTGGAAAAGTAATAAACTTATAACAACATAATAATTGCTTAATTTAGCTTTTAGCGTTAGATAAACTATCAGACAGATGAGGCTGAAGAGTTTTTGAATTTATGAATTTTTAATCAATACAGTACGACATGTATATACGAGTATTTTCCAGCGCTTATCTGAAAAAGTGTATGATTTAATTTGTTGATGTAAGATGATCTCAAATTGAGCTATTCTCACCCAAAATGCAGTGGATAGATTAATTTGTACAGCAACAGTGAACTTTCAGATTCATGATACTTAAGATTATATAAATTGCTTGAATTGGAGGTATAGATTTTTTTTCCAAAAAAACATTACCTAAAGTCCGAAGTTTAAGTCTAGCATCAAATTGGAAATTAACTAAAATTCTCCTAAAAGCTCGAACTATATTTATTGCCCACAAACTTGACTGGACTTAAACTGGGCATTAGGACTGTTGTGAAATTCGATAGTTGCATACCGTTTTGTTAAAAATTACTTGCATTTTTTATTACAATGTGGATTAAGCTGACTTAAATCGATATCTATAAGGTCGTCAACATTAGCATAGATAAACAGTGAGGGCAGACGATATTTTTGAAATCTTCAATAATAGGTAAAACGGCGAAATCAATTTGGTTAATAACGCAGTGATAAAAACGGATTCAACCTATTGGACCAATAACTTTCATGATTGATATCAAGATATTAATCGAGTTACACGTGTGTACTGAAATAAGACAAATTTAAGAAATTCATAAGTTTTTGCTCTACTTAGTCAAAACGAAAAAAATAATAATTGCCAAGATCAAAACTAGCCAACCAATTTAAAGGGATTAACTTCAATTTCGGTATTATTATGCAAATTTGTCATTTGATCTCTATGGGATTGTTTCCAAATTGCTGGGTGAAACACCCTAACTTTTCAATGTTATCGAAAAATTTTCAATTTCACCAAAGGGCTTTTTTTACTATCTAAGAGCTTTTTATCCTATCTACGAACTGTGCTTTCGGGCTGAGATAAAGCGATACCCAGTGCTTTTAACGTTCTTTTCAATATCGTTGGAGCGAGAATATTTTCATCATTTTGTCTACACCTATTCGTGATACAACCTTTTGCTAGAAAATCTTTCCACTCTCGTTAAATACGAGGAACACCGTTCGGCTCTTATCAGCACTACGAGACATCATTGTAAAAGGAATTGATTTTACCACTATACCTTCATGAAGTTTTTGACATCTACTCAACAGTCGTTAACGCTACATAGTGGTTGGTTGATATAGAACTGCTGTTATCCCCACATAACAAAGATGATATAATATACCCTTTATATACGTTGCTATAATTATAATTATCTGAATTTTCTGCTAATACAGGTTAAATTTCAGTATAGTCCAGCTTATTAATTCACACTCGAAACGAAAATTACTTGTTTGCTTTACTCATAGATACCCTTGCCGACTTATTTTTTATTTGAATTTAAACGATTTTTTAATCTCAACAATTTCAATTAATTTATGTCAATTTTTGTTAGTAATTTCATATTAACCTTAGGTTCGTTAACTTAGATTCAATTAAGAATGAAGCAAAATTGTTATCAACGCTCTGGGAATCTTTTTTTTTGTGCCAAAATTACTGTGCCTATTAGAAGTTCAAAATAGTGTTGGTCTGAATCTTATTTAACACGTTTTGCCCGAACATACATAAGAGATTTAAGAATTTAAGAATTTAATATTCAATCAATACAATCATTTGACAAACCTTTGGTCCCAACGATAAAAAAATTATATGAAATTCTCCACATTGAAATTAAGATAAGAAGAAAATCCAATAAATTATTCGAGAAAATTAAATTTAAATTTTATCAAGAGAAGCATATATTATTAACAAAGGAAATAAGTGAAATGCACTTTTAGTCAGCATCTGTCGAATGACTAATCTATAGGTGATTGGTCAAGAATGATAATTATGTCCCGTACCATAGAATTTAAGTTGAAACAGAACTTGCTGAATGCCGGCGCTAAGGAACTTAAGTATCCTACGCAATTTGCTTCATGTTAATTCGCTGCCGGTTATTTATTTAAAAAAAACAACTTTCAATAAATTGATTGTTTTAATTAACTTTAAGTCGCTTCGACAATTGCAGTACAAATAGCAACATAATTAATAAACTTATTTTTATACGATCTGAATAGAACAAATTTTAAAGAAATAAAATTTTAATTTATTTTTGTTGTTTCATACCTGACCCTATTACACTTTCCTTTAAGCAATATGGCAATTTTCGTTTGATATCATTTGTATGTATATATGTATTTCAAACAGTGTTATATCGAAAAATATATATTTTTTGGGTTGTAATAAGTGCTAAAACTAAAGCAAAAGTATTTACACGGCCGCAACCGAATGGTAAAAGCTACACCATCATAATAGAATCGTTCAATGTTTACACATTTGGACATTTGAAATGGTATTGTTTATAAATGTCTCGTCGAACAATGTACATTTAATTTGTATTATATGTATTTGTATATTGTATCTTGCATATTTAAAATTTTGCAGGTCAGTTATTTTCAATTCCAATTTTTGGTCGGTATTATTTTATTATTCTATTATCTATTTACGCAGATACAAATGTAATTTAATATAAGTATGTATAGAGATAAACGGTCAAATCGCACCGATATTTAAAATAGGTATGGCGCGTTTTTCGATTAAACTTCATGAGTTAAGAAAGGTCGAGCATGACAAATTTAGTTTCTGATGGAATTTTTACCTGGAAATATACGACACCTAAGAAACTAAAGTCAGTTTTTCAATTCAATTTTGATCCTGCACTCTTTTGGAGACCCTATTCCCAAAACGCTTTCTTTTCCAGGCTGAAAACTTTTAGCAAGCAACAGTTTTATTTCATATTTTTGCCTGAAGCCACCACAAACTTTGCAGTGTACACAAGTTACTGTCAAGCCGGATAGGTTTTTGCCAAAGCTCCCAGCAATAAACAGTTTCAGAGTGGTAATTTGTTCCTTGAAAATTTTCAAATAAAATGTTTTTTGGCCGTCAAACATAGTTATCAATAAAAATCAATCAAGTATACCAATCTAGAAATATAATCTTGCTCTGCTTTGAAGTGAGATGTTACAAAGTCGGATAAAAGATTAAATTTAATTTTAAACTATTATGCTCTTGCGACAACTAATGGAGCATGGGATTTATTATATAATTTTTTAACTTAAAATCATTGAATTTTTTATTGAACTTAATTTCTACATTTCTACAAAGTCCATTTTAAGTGCTTATATTGAAAGTCTCAAGGTTTTCGATCTAATATCCAACATATATTTTTTTAATTATTTTGGTTAATGAGCATAGGTACCAAGAACATAATGGTCATATGGAGTGTATGTGTTTTGTGGTATATTTTAAGTATTGTTAATAACGACATATGGTTTATAAATGCTACTATTAAAACAATTTGATGTTTTTTTAAATTGAAATCTTACGGACCAGTTGAAATTATAATAGTGTTAATATTGTGTACATTATATCTAATGTCTAGTAATCTGGTACATCAGGACGTTCTGGGTGACTTGAATACTCTAGAGATTCTAATTTAGTCTCAGGATTCTTAACCTACCAGAGACCAACCCATAACAGTAAAATATAATGAATTGGCCCAAAAAATCTTGTTTAATTATTTGATGTATATACTGAAAAAAGCTATTTAGTTCCCAGTAAACACTTTAAGAACGTAAATACTAAATGTAAATAAACATGGCAGACGAAGTTGCGAATTGGCGAAGACGGACAGTGCTTTCCTTAATTGGTCGATAAAACTTTAATTTTATAATGAAGTATATATTTCACTCAGGATATATAATAATTTTGGTCTTCCGACAAATTAAGCAGTTTTCCATCAAGTAACATTTTAATTTAAAATCTACTGCAAAGTACATGAGCAATAAAAAGTATTGTAACCAGCAGCTCACTGTTAACTCAAGCTCAAGACAAAAACTTTGAAGATCCTGCATTCCTTAAAGCTCAACTTTATTAAGGCAAAAGTGACTTTATTTTATTAAATTAATAATCAGAATTGAAAGGAGTACACTTATTGTCGAATAAGTAAATATGCATATAGCAAATAAAGTTAACGTTTCCAATTGAGAATATTAATTCTGAAAGAAGTTTTGACCAAAAAACATACATTTAACTTCGACAACACAAACAAGCTTAGTTCATTCTTGACAACTCGACTGGCGCCGTAACCAGTTCCATTTTAAAAATAAATCGAAGATTTCTCAAAATTGTATTTGGTTTTTAATGGAAGCATATCAGTTTACTTTGCATGTATTGTGCACTCTGCTTTATCCACCATTTTAACTAAATCCAAATTTGCATATCCGAAATGTTCTGCATTTATTATCTATAATAAGTGGTTGAGATTTGCCGGTCAATGCAAGATATTTTTTCTTAGATCAGGAAAATTAAATACTCTCAAAACTGAAACAATACAAACTTTGGAAATGTGATTTCTTATATCTGTTTACTTTGGATAAAGTAAATCCCAGAAGTTCAATACTCTTTTTGGTTTCAGAACGAGACTGTGCACCAAGCCGTAAAATCGTTAATCCAGAGGGAGCAAGAAACGGAACCGGAAAAATACGAATGTTTGTAAGTAAAACATAAGTTGAGACATATATTTATAAGACACTTGGGCATTCGAATTTTTTTACTGTTTGAATTTAAAAATTAGAGTATTAATTTGCCACGTTTGATAGAACTTGCTTACCGTTATTGCATTTTAAGTGGAAGCTTCACTTAAAAACTGAAGACACATTTACATTTGTAAAAATTATATGTCTAGTAGTTGATGCAAAAATATTCATTCCTATCTAATGCACGCTGATACAGCAATATGCTGGATCAAAAAAATTAAAAATCCTGCTTTGACATGTTACCAGGCAACCAAACTTCTTAGAAAAATGAAGCTAAGAATTTAATCAGAAGAAGCAGCAATATACTAATGAAAATTAGAAAACTTGACATTTACTTGGAAATATTTACGTTTTTTGAATAACACGAACTTTAAAATTAAATTTGTATTCAAATTGTTTTAAAATCCCAATTTTTTTACACATCGTACGTCTAAACGAGGAGGTATGGAATAAGAAATTAAGCCATATTACATTGAGCATTGCATAAGATATCAAAAAAAATATTACCATAAGTATATAAACATATAATATTCTTGTTTCTCTAATCTCTTGATCTTACATTTAACAGCTTTTTACATGCTGCAGTTACTATTGCACAGACTCGTTATTTTTTTACAGAGTCTATGTTAAACAGGCCCCTGCAGAAAAAAAAACATCTTTTAACTTTTACCAATTGCTTTTTTCCATTTCCATTTATCCCAGATAGATAACTTGGTATATTCGACAGGTTTCAAGTAAGTTTAAAGTAAAGCGTTTTTAGTAAATTAACATAAATTCAATAATTTAATTCGTAATTCGAAGTGTCACGGTCTTTTATTAGTTCAGTTTCACAAATCTGAATGAAGCAACACTGATACAGATTTGTGGTGATTTGTACTCTCTGTATTCGTTTGGAAAGTGCAATGCAATAGTAGTAATCAGACTATGAAGGCTTTCACGGCCGTGAGATGACATTTAGGAATGTTTTCCGGGCTTTGAAGCCGTGGTCCATCGGAATTTTTTCCTGACGTTTCGTCCACAACTGCGGTGCACATTTTCAAAGGCGA